GCTGCAAGCTGCATGCCACAACGCGGCCCTTAGCTACCTCGGTGACACGGCGTTGGGCGTGATGTCATGCGCGGTCCGTTACCTCTTCTCTGCCTAGCGCCCCGTTGCCGAGTCCGCGGAACGTAATGCTTCGCACCACTTGACAAGGCTTGGTCTGCCGCTCTGCCTACCGTCCACCAACCAACGCGACCCAGGCTTTCGGATAGCAGCGCCCATCGTACAACGACCCGTCTTCTGCTCAGCCGTTGCAGCAAATGTGGAGACATATGCGGAGAAATCTGGGGATACGCTGCCTGAGACGGGCGACATGCCTCGGTTTGTTCGAGACATGACGACGACAGGGTGTTAGGTCTGAGCCGTGTGCCGTCTCCTGTCAATCAGAGCCATCTCCGTGTTGCGATATAGCTATCATGCCGCGGCCCATGAAGACATCATTCCCAATCTGCTCTCACAGCCAGCTGCCATCTCGTCCTGCGTCCTCAACTTAACGACATCTACACAAAGAGCCACCTTCCATCATGTCAGAGACGGCAAAGATAGACCACGAGATGACTGAGCATAACGGCGTGAACATCGCAAGCAATGGTGCGCCGTTGAGTCGCCAGGTCACTGTCGCTCTCTCGCCCGAGCAGTACGAGCGTCTCTTCTTCCAGCCATCCGCACCGCGTCGTGGAGATCTCGCAAAGCGGTTCGCCAACCCAACGCTGCTTGGGCTCATCGGATTCTTGGTTCCATACACTTCAACTATCCTCATTTTGTGCGGGTTCCAAGGAGCCGTCGCGCCGCAGAGCTTGGTCGGCATCAGCGCCGACTACTACTTTTTTGGAGCGTTAGCCATGAATCTCGCTGGCATCGCCGAGTTTATCCTGGGTAACAGTACGGTTTACCTGTGTCCATAGGCGCCCTTCTTTTGGTACTGACCTTTTGCAGCGTTTCCCTTCGCGGTCTTCATCATCTATGGTAGCCATTGGGGCAGTTTGGCGTACCAGCAAGACCCCATACACCAGACGACCTCCGCCTTCGGTGAGCTCGGAGGCGCGGAAGGCGCAGCCTACAATGCGTCTCAAGGCTTCCATAATGTGTCTATGTGAGTAACACCGGCTCTTGTATGTTGAAAAGCAGTCTCTGATTAGTGTGCAGGGTCCTTGCCAGCTTCGTCTTCTTGATCGGTACCCTTCGCGTCAATCTCTTCTTCACGTTTACGTTCTTCGGGCTCGTCATGCTTTTCGGCTTCATCGCTGCCGCCGACTTCTCCATTGCCTCCGCCACGACTGAAGCCGATCTTGAACACATCAACACGTTGTTGCGATGCGCAGGAGGATTCGGGTTTCTAGGCTTGATCTCCGGCTGGTACCTCGCTATTCTTACCGCTTGCGAAGCCGTGGGAATCCCATGCCCGCTGCCCGTCTTCGATTTGAGCACCAAGGTTTTCCCGGACAAGTCCAAGAACAGCCAAGCTAGTTAAAGCAATGGTTAAATGGCTTACAGCCGTTCTTTGTGGGACGCGGGAAGGAGCCACTCTGCTAGCTAGCTACGCGTCCTCGTGTTTTTCACGTACCGCACGATAACCAGTCGCTTAAAGTTTACCGAGGCACCACCGCTGCTGCAAATCCATGCAAAGTGATGTGATGTGACATGCGCCTTATGTTCCGTTGAGCCCGGTGGCTGAATGTCGTTTATTATCGCGGGTCGATCGAGAGACAGCATCATGCAGATCCGGGGCTCGTATACGCGGACGCGGGGTAGCACGGTCAACCCTCACTATGGCTTCACGGGAGAGTAAAATAGCGCGTCTTTGGGTTCCTGTCCGGCTCAATACGCAATCTTGGCTGCATGGTGGTCTTGGGATGGCTTGAGTCGTGGAAGTAATAAAGAGTCGGCTGCCTCAACGTGACAATACCGTCTAGCAGCGGTAGTGTACGCATCGTAGCCATGATGCATTCAGCCTCATATCTCCTCCTTATTGGCGCCACTTTGTTGTCGACCACCTATGCGATCGGTCCCGATTGTGTCAATGGTCCGTTGAAAGACAACAAGATCTGCGATGTCAACGCCGCGCCTACCGAACGGGCAACAGCCCTTGTTGCGGCTATGGAAAACGAGGAGAAGCTCGACAATTTGATGAGGTAGGCTTCCATCGCGGTTTCTCATTCCATTCAACTGATCCCTGTAGTAAATCGAGGGGTGTAGCGCGACTGGGCCTTCCTGCCTACAACTGGTGGGGTGAGGCATTGCACGGTGTAGCAGGAGCCCCGGGAATCAACTTCACCGAGCCATTCACGAACGCCACCTCTTTCCCCATGCCATTGCTCATGTCGGCTGCTTTTGACGATGATCTCATCTTCAAGATCGCCAACATCATCGGGAATGAGGCGCGTGCCTTTGGCAATGGAGGTGTGGCCCCTGTGGATTACTGGACTCCAGACATCAACCCATTCCGCGATCCTCGCTGGGGTCGGGGCTCAGAGACGCCAGGCGAAGACATTCTGCGCATCAAGGGCTACACAAAGAGTCTGCTCGCTGGACTAGAGGGCGATCAAGCTCAGAGGAAGATCATCGCGACATGCAAGCACTACGTTGGCTACGACATGGAGGCTTGGGGCGGCGTCGATCGCCACAACTTTGACGCCAAAATCACGATGCAGGATCTGGCCGAGTACTACATGCCACCTTTCCAGCAATGCGCGCGAGACTCCAAAGTTGGTTCGTTCATGTGCTCGTACAACGCTGTCAACGGTGTCCCTACATGCGCAGATACGTACGTCCTACAGACCATCTTGCGCGAGCACTGGAATTGGACAGAAACCAACAACTACATCACCAGTGATTGCGAGGCCGTTGCTGATATTTCCGAGAACCACAACTACACAGATACGCTCGCCGAAGGTACAGCAGTCGCCTTCATTGCCGGCATGGACAACAGCTGCGAGTACGAGGGATCATCCGATATTCCTGGAGCTTGGAGTCAAGGACTCTTGAACGTCACTGTTATTGACAGAGCTCTCACGCGACAATACGAGGGTCTCGTCCGTGCTGGCTACTTTGACGGTGCTGGAGCCGTATACGCAGACCTAGGTATCGATGATGTGAACACACCAGAGGCACAGCAGCTTTCTCTCCAAGTCGCATCGGAAGGCCTTGTCATGCTGAAGAATGATCATACCCTTCCACTCACCCTCTCCAATGGGTCTAATGTCGCCATGATCGGATTCTGGGCTAATGACTCGTCGAAGTTGTCCGGTATCTACAGCGGCCCTGCTCCCTACCTGCGTACTCCAGTGTGGGCTGGTGAACAGCTCGGATTGAACATGTCTATTGCGACTGGTCCCGTTCTGCAGAACTCCAGTGCCCGCGATAACTGGACAATGAATGCGCTCAGTGCGGCAGAGGGATCTGATTACATCATCTACTTTGGTGGTCTGGACACTTCAGCAGCGGCAGAAGGCTTCGACCGTACCGACATCAGCTGGCCTAGTGCGCAAGTCGAACTCATCACCAAGCTCGCTCAGCTTGGAAAGCCGCTCGTGGTCGTTGTGTTGGGCGACATGGTCGACAACTCTCCCCTGCTGTCGATGGAAGGCGTCAACTCCGTCATCTGGGCTAACTGGCCCGGTCAAGATGGTGGATTAGCCGTCATGAACGTCATCACTGGCGCGCATGCAGTCGCTGGTCGTTTGCCAATCACGCAATACCCTGCGAGCTATACCAACCTCTCGATGCTGAACATGAACCTGCGCCCCGGTGCCATCAGTCCAGGTCGCACCTACCGTTGGTACAACCAGCCTGTACAGCCTTTTGGCTTTGGCCTGCATTACACTACCTTTGCTGCGAACTTCAGTAGCAGCGAAGGACTCAACTACAACATCCAAGATATCATGACCGATTGTTCGCAGATGTATCCTGATCTGTGCGACGTTGCGCCACTGGAGATTAGTGTAACCAATAAGGGTAATGTGACTTCCGATTTCGTCGCTCTAGCTTTCATCAAGGGCGAGGCTGGACCAAAGCCATACCCGCTCAAGACACTGGTCTCATACGCGCGATTGAGGGACATTGCTGGGAGTCAGACGAAGATGGCATCGCTCTCTCTCACGCTTGGAACGCTGGCGCGGGTCGACCAAATGGGCAATACGGTCGTGTATCCGGGAGAGTACACACTGCTTCTTGACGAGCCTACGCAGGCTGAACTGAAGCTCACGATAACGGGTCAAGAGACCGTGCTGGACAAGTGGCCTCAGCCGCCAGCATCTTCGTAAGCGATGAGAGTAACACCGCTGTTGTGTTAGATGAATGTCAAACACATTTGCAGCCTCGCGTATTGCCGCTCTCTTCTGTTTGCGATGTTCTTGATGCTGATGAACAGTGATCGAAGGTCTTATGCTCAAGATCTGTCACCGATTGCGTTTATGCGGTAAATACTTAGCTAGAGAAGACATCGCCTTGGGCTTGAGTTATTGCCTACGCAATTATTGTACAGTTTCTTCCTAGCACAAAGTACTTTATACCTAGGTAAGAAATATTATAGTTTATACCTAGGTATAAAGGTTTTTACCTAAGTAAGTAGTACACACTTATATTGTAGTACTTTCTTAGGTAAAAACGCTAAGACCTAAGCACATAAGTTTATACCTAAGCAGAAAGGTTTTTACTAAAGAAAAAGAGTTTATTCCTAAAGAACATAGTTTATACCTAAAGAAAATAGTTTACACTTAATAAAAGATTTATACCTAGGTAAAACGTAGTTTTTACTTAGGTAAAAACGTTTGAACCTAGGCAGAAACCCTGACTAGGCACAGATCGTCTAATGCGCCGCTCATGCTTCAAAAACCGCGCGTGCGGTATGTGCCTCGTGAGTGCATACAGTCACATGATTAGGTGGCGTAGCTTTCGTGACGCAAAACCCTGCAAGACCTCGCTGGTGTTGCAACACCATCCTCTCGAACACTTATCTTATATCGCGATCCAAAGTCGACGTCTCAGGGCATCCGCAAGATCAGATCATGATGCAGACACCCAATCCACCCCGTGTTCCCATGGACAAGTCTCGCGTGAACAGCCAAGTCTACGACGGAGACTTCAAAGTCGACAACAACGTTCTCGCAAAGTTCCCAAAGGGTACAAAGGTTGTTTCTGCGCACCGCTTTGGAGTATCATCCTGGACCGTGACTGCCCGGCTACATCTTCTATTGCCCGACGGTACCGAAGAACGCTACTTTCTAAAGTCGGCTTCAGAGGCTCATGGTTGCACCTTGATAGAAGGCGAATACAACGCGATGTCTGAGCTGTACAAGTGGGCACCGTATCTCGTACCCAAGCCGCACTCGTGGGGACGATACCGAGATGACGAACCCGAGGCGTACTTCTTCCTTTCACACTACATCGACATGAGCGACCAAATGCCCGATCCTGATCAGCTGTGTGAGAAGCTGGCTCGTCTTCATCGCGAAAGCACCTCACCTACTGGTCAATACGGATTCCATGTAACGACATGTCAGGGTCGTGCGACTCAGTCTGTAGCATGGGAGAGAGATTGGACGACATTTTTCATCAAACTCCTGCAACATGTCATCGATGTCGACTTCGAGTTAAACGGAGCTTGGGATGAGCTCGACAAGGCCGAGAAGCGGCTCATTCAGTTTGTCATTCCGAGACTGCTTGGAGCCCTGACCACGGAAGGTCGTAACATCAAGCCAAGCTTGATCCACGGTGATCTCTGGGAAGGCAACATCAGTACAGCCATTGATGGCAGTGATGTCCTTCTTTTCGACTCCGCTGCGTTCTACGCCCATAGTGAGCTAGAAGTGGCGGATTGGAGACCTTACTACAACAAGATCAGCAACAAGGTATACTTGGAAACCTACCTGAAGTACCAAGAGCCTAGCGAACCGAAGGAAGAGTGGGACGATCGGAATCGACTCTACAGTATCTATTGGAATGTCATCTACTCGGTCAACCACGTTGCCCAGGGTAAAGCGATTCGCCAAGTGTAAGTCGAGCAGGAAGTGATAAGGCACAGCTAACGCCTGAATAGTGCCTACAACGATATGCTCTTCCTCATCGACAGATACGCGCCTTTTCCAGAAGGCGAGAGACCTCCGACACTACAAGAGACTGAGATGGCTTCTCTGTCATCTGAGCGGGATCACACTGTGTAGGGCGAGCTGCTTGGAGTAGTATGAATGCTAGCACAGAGGAATTGTATTATGATCTGCTCTCATACAAAGTCAACTGGAAGCTTGTCAGTGATGCTTCAGTTTCCAGCCTTGGCCTCCATCGATGCAATCGGTCCAGAGATTAGGGAGCCGTTCTGAGTTACGCAACCGTTCCGTACTTGTCTCCAATGCATGCCCTTCCATTGGAGCAGGGCGACGCACAATGCCGACAGTATGCCACTCCACAGGCCCAGAGCCGTAAAGTACCATCCTCTACCAGCTGCGTTCAGCAATGGTTGCAGGACCGCAACTCCCGTCGCGGCCATTGCGCAGCGTGTAATGCTCGTAGCAGCTGCGGCAGTACTGGGGCTTTGAGGGAAAGAATCCACTAGCAAAGTGCTGAATGTCGTGTAGCCGTAGCAACCCCAGAAACCTTGCATGAATTGTAAGATCAATGGTATAGCCGGGTGGGCGTGATATTGGACAGTCCATCCATAGCCGATCATGGTCGCTGTCGATATCATTAGCATGGCGTAGCTGTATCTTGTCCTCGCACGCTCGATTGGAAACTTCAGGAGGTCATCACCAGATACCTTGTCGATGGTCCAGTCGATGCTGCGAGCAACGGCACAGTAGTTGTAGTCCATCATCTTTCCGGTAAAGTAGGCCCCGGCAATGGTGCCAATGCCACGCGGAAGGTACGATAAGCCAATGTAAAGCTCATTCCAATGGTATATATCTTTGTAGATGTCTGGACCCGCTGCAACGAAGCAGTAGTCCACTGTGTAGAACGATCCGTGAACCCATAAGGTGAGGAACGTGTCCCTATAGAAGATGATGCGAAAGCAGGCGAGCAAGTTAGATAGTCCGTACTTCCGCTTAGTCGTCTGGCATGGGGCTGCCGCCGATGAAATTGCAGTCGCACCGTCTTCATTCAGTCTCTTTGCTGCTTTGACCTTCATCCGCTCTCGTAAGAGGCCTACCCAGCTGTACTGCCACCACTGGTATCTAGACTTGTCACTGCCATTGTCGACCATGTTGCGGGCCGTCTCGGGGAGGAGCGCGCCTACGCCGACCAGCAAGACTACGCCGACAATGAACAGGGCCCAGAATACCCAAGTAATGTTTCCACTTGTGTGTGCCACGACGCCTCCTACGACTGGACCTACACAAGTGCCCAGATTCATGGCCATGCTGATTGGGCCTAGCATCTGTCCTCGTTCGCTAGCCACGCAGACGTCTGCAACGACACCAAAGCTGATGGCATACGCTGCACTGGCCCCGAGACTCTGTATCGCGCGCAGGACTAAGAGAATAGCATAGTTGCGCTTGTTCAGAGCTAGTCTCAAGTTACCGATGACGTACAGGGCCAGAGTGGCCAGGAAGTAGGGTCGCCGGCCATGAACATCAGACAGTGGTCCGAATATGACGGGTGAAATGGCTTGGAAGATGATGTAGAGGGTTATTGTAAGATTGATAGCCTGCGCTGTAGTACTGAACTGTGTGCGCAGCAGGGGAAGAAGGGGGAAGTAGATGGTCGCGGTCAAGGGTGACGTGATAGCTGCCAACCCAAGAAGCGGCCGCAGTCGCCGCCGCTGCGACTGCGTGAAGGATGTGTATTCGAGCGGGCTTGGTGCAGGCGCGTCGTCGCACCTGGATTCTTCAGCATCTTTACCCAGTTCCGCATCGCCGACTCGCGTTGGGGGTGAGGCAGTAATCTCTCCGGACATGACGCCGAGCTGGTGCTTGGGCGAGGCTGGTCGCGCGAAGTCTGGCGGGGTAAGGCTTCCGACTGGCGCCTTCCGGCTCGCGGCCATCGCTCGTCACGCGTCCGCCGGCAAACCTCCACCTTCTCCTCACCCCAACCCCAGAATGCAAACAACCCATCCCTGTACGCGCATCTCGTACAGCTGTCGATCACTCCCTTGAGCTGGTGCGCTATGTCAAACGGTGCAGGCCAAGACGTGCAACATGATGCATCGCGACCAATTCCTCCGTCGCCCGCCCCCGTAGCCAGGAAACGCTGCCTGCTGTGAGGTCATCCAGTATGCAGCAAAGCGACCACCGGATATTATGAGCTCGTGATGGGCGATTGAAAACGAGTGCGCAGACTGGCAGTTCTCACCATCAAGCTCGCATCGCAATGGCTACCACAATCTTGCTCTCGGCATGCCTTGCCCTACAAGCAGCAGCCAAAACAGTCAGATCACCCACACCTCCTATGGGATGGAACTCGTACAACACCTGGAACTGCTTGCCCTCTGAGGAGAAGATTCACGAGAGTGCTCATGGCCTCATCGACCTCGGTCTTAGCAACGCTGGCTACAATTTCGTGACAGTCGACTGCGGCTGGAACGCCCATGATCGAGATGGAGAGGGGAGACTTCAATGGAATGAGACCCTCTTCCCATCTGGTGGCAAGGCACTCGGAGATTATCTCCATGACCTGGGTCTGGACTTTGGTCTTTACTCTGGCGCTGGGTATCTACAGTGCGGGTCAGAATCGTTACCTGCGAGTCTGGGGTACGAACAACTAGATGCGGAGAGTTTCGCTGAGTGGGGCGGAGATAGCCTTAAGTATGATCACAAGCCTCCTCAATACGCTTTCGCCCTTGCTAACGTTATGCAGGTACGACAACTGCTACTCTACTTCCAACACCACGATGGTCGACTCTAGCTCCGCAGAAGCTCAATCACCAGCACGTTTCCAACACATGGCGGCCGAATTAGATGCGGTAGACCGCGACATACACTACTACGTCTGCCAGTGGGGAATTGGCACTGACGTCGGTGACTGGGCTGCTGAGGTTGGCAACACCTGGCGAATCAGCAACGACATCTACAATGGCTGGCGCAGCATCTGGCGGATCACCAATCAGGTCGTCCCATACTTCAGGCATACCACTGCTGGTGCATTTGCAGACATGGACATGCTGACGTAAGTAGAATGAGCTGTATCTGGAGTCGTCAACTGACAAGTCTAGCGTGGGCCTGAATGCCCTTTCTGAAGAGGAAGAGCGCTTCCACTTTGGCATGTGGGCTATCAACAAGTCTCCTCTCATCATCGGCGCCGCCCTCGATCCCGAACGTATTAGTCAGAGCTCGTTAGACATCCTCTCGAACAAGGAAGTCATTGCCATCAATCAAGACCCACTTGCTCAGCAAGCCATGTTGGTCCGTCGCGATACTGAGAACGAGTGGGATATCTGGATGGGAAAACTCTCGGGATCTAAGCAGGTGTTGGGAGTCGCGAATTGGAAGAACGACTCCCAAGCCGTAGACTTTGATCTGGCAACACTGGGCATAGCTTCGGCTGATGTGCGCGATGTCTGGGCTGCGAAAGATCTTGGTACTTTGTCTGGTGCCCAGACGGCTGACTTGGCCGGACATGAGCTGCGACTATGGGTTCTGTCCAACATCGTCGCAGCCGCCCCTCTCACCTCCGGCTCGTACCATTCCGTTGCTAATGCGTCGCTTTCCGGACCAGCACACAACTTCTCCTGCGCGTCCGGCGCATGCCTTCCCGCTGGCTCGAAGATTGAGTACATCGGCCGCGCCAGCAGCGTCATGTTCGCCAACGTCAGCTCGCAGTCCACTGGCAAAAACCTCATGGGCATCGACTTCGTCAACTATCACTATGCATTTACTACTGCATGGGAATGGGGCGACAACACACGTAACATGACGATCGCAGTCAATGGTGCTGAGGCGAAGCGATGGGCATTCCCTCTCTCTGGTGGTGATTGGGAGGAGAGTCTACGACTTCAGATCGAACTCGACGGGTTTGTGGAAGGTACAGAGAACATGATTGAGTTCCGAGGGTACGGAGACAGTTTTGGGCCGGATCTTGTCGGCTTCGAGATCCTGAACAGCGCTTAGAGTTTCCCCTTGGGTAAATACTCCTTACTTTGGTACAGTTTATACGATTCTTACCTAGGTACAGTCTACAGGCTTTTTACTTGGGTATAAACTATAACATCTACTTAGGTATAAACTATGCTTCCCACTTAGGTATAAACTACATGCTTTTTACTTAGGCATAAAATATATTTCGTAATTAGGTATAAACTACATGCTTTTTACTTAGGTATAAACTATGCTTCGTACTTAGGTATAAACTGTACTTTCTGCTTAGGTATAAACTATGCTTTCTACTTAGGTATAAACTGCGCTTTTTACCTAGGTATAAACTATCGAGGTATACTTTCCTTTTAGGTATATACTATGCTTTCTTCCTAGGTATAAAGTGTCTAGTGGTGCCTTTTACCTAGGGATCAACTACACTTTTCACCTAGCTCTGTAGTTTTTACCCAAGTCTGTTGTTTTTACCTAACTGTATACTTCTTACCTAACTCTGTCGTTTTTACCCAACTCTGTGCTTTTTACCCAACCCTATACTTCTTACCTATCTCTGTCGTTCTTACCCAACCCTGTACTTGATACCTAACTTCGTACTTTTTACCCAACTCTGTACTTTCCACCTAACGCTGCGAGTCTGCGGAAGAGGTGCATGCGAGAGGATGTGACGCAGGCGCATCGTCGCGGCGGGATAAATCGGCCTCTGATGTACATCCGTAAGTATGGCCGTGCCTACGCTTGTGTTGAACGAAGGAAGCCCCGTAGTCGTTGATCAGCGTTTCACCCAAGCATCTTGAGGGGCAGGTACCCCGCATGTGTTTACCCGCGGGTGAACAACCACCGAACGTCCATCATTTAGCTGTCACATCGGTCAGGCTCATCGTTAGTCTACGACTAACGGACAACATGACGCCTATTCCGCACACCTCATCGCCGCTAACCACGGGTTGGACGTTCAAGCAGGGCGACCGTTCCTCGACCAACGAGTACCTACCGGCCTGCGATGCACCAACTGAAGTCTATCGCGACTTACTCAAACACGACAAGATCCCTGACCCCTTTCATGACCTCAATGAGCTAGCAGTGCGTTGGGTTGGCGATGAGACATGGACATATCGCACGACCTTTGCTGCGCCTTCTGATTATGGGAAGGCGAACGCGGCCACCACCCTTCGATTTGAAGGTCTCGACACCTTTGCTTCCGTTTTTCTGAACGACGAGATGATTCTGGAGTCTGACAACATGTTCGTCGAGCATCAGATCGACGTTTCAGGCAAGCTCCAGCTAGAGGAGAACGTACTGGAAATCGTCTTCGAGTCAGCGCGCAAGAAGGGTCTCGAGTTGGTGGAACAACATCCAGAACATCGCTTCATCGTGCACCAAACCGAGATCTCGCGAGGGCCTGTTCGCAAAGCGCAGTATCATTGGGGGTGGGACTGGGGCCCTATTCTCATGACGTGTGGACCTTGGAAGCCAGTTTCGATCGAGACGTGGGAATGCCGCCTATCAGCCCTGAATGTGCAGTACAAACTGTCGCAAGACCTGAAGTCTGCGGAATTGAAGATGAGTGTCGAATGGGAGGGTAAGACCACGGGCATATTGTTCATGGTCTCAAAGGACGGAGAAGACATTGACGGCATGCGCACCACCATCAATGATCGCAAGAGTCCCCTGGAAAGTACTATCACCATGGATGATATCGAGCTCTGGTGGCCGCGAGGCTATGGGCAACAAACTCTTTACACAATTAGAGCAGAAGCCATTGTGCAGGGTGTCCCGAATCCCATTCATCTCATATCCAAGCAGTTTGGCTTCCGCCGCACTGAGTTGATGAAAGAGCCAGACGCACACGGCACTTCTTTCTACTTCCGCATCAACGATATCGACATCTTTTGCGGAGGCTCGTGTTGGATACCCGCCGACTCGTTTCTCACACGGCTCAAACCCAATGACTACCGCGATTGGGTGAAACTCGCAGCCGACGGCAATCAAACCATGCTGAGGATTTGGGGAGGCGGTATCTACGAAGCCGATGCGCTATACGATGCCGCTGATGAATTTGGCGTGTTGATATGGCAAGACTTCATGTTCGCATGTGCCAACTACCCTACCTACCCCGAGTACTTGAAAAGTGTGGAGATCGAAGCAAGACAGAATGTTATACGGCTGAGAAACCACCCCAGCCTAGTGGTGTGGGCAGGGAACAACGAGGACTACCAGATCGTCGAGCGATACAAACTACAGTACGAACCTGACGACAAGGATCCGGAATCCTGGCTCAAGACCGACTTCCCAGCCCGCTACATCTACGAGCATCTCCTGCCAAAGGTAGTTGCAGAAGAATGTCCAAACATACCCTACCACCCCAGCTCACCCTTCGGTGATGGCAAGTCGACGGTCCTAGGAGTGGATCCTACGATCGGCGATGTCCACCAGTGGAACATGTGGCACGGTACCATGGAGCCATACCAACGCCTGCCACAGATGGGCGGTCGCTTCGTATCCGAATTCGGAATGGAGGCATATCCTCATGTTTCTACACTTGAGATGTGCATCAACGATCAGCACGACCTCCACCCTGGTTCGATGGCCATGGACTTCCGCAACAAAGCCATCGGTCATGAGCGACGTCTCATCAGCTACGTGTCTGAGAACTTCCGGGTCCAGTACTTACTGAAAGGCTATACACATCTCACCCAGGTCATGCAAGCAGATGCGATGTCGTGGGCTTACAAGTCCTGGCGCCGCCAATGGGGGTCAGCCGGTGATCGCAAGTGTGGCGGTGCGTTGGTGTGGCAGCTGAACGACTGTTGGCCAACGATGTCGTGGGCTGTGGTGGACTACTACAAGGTGCCAAAGCCAGCGTACTATGCTATCAAGCGCGCCATGCAGCCCATCGCCATTGGTGTACAGCGCAAGTACAACAGTTGGACTATGCGGCCGGCTGACCGGCTGTGGCAGCGCGACACTGGGCATATCGATATGCACAAGCTGTGGCAGGACGTCGAATACGACCTGTGGGTCTCTAACAGTGCGCTGATGGAAGCCGAAGTGGATGTTGCGATACGTTACATCTCAATCGGCACAGGAAAGGACATCAGCACTGAAGAGCGCAAAAACATACGCATTACGGCCAATGAAACAACCGAGATACTCACTGACCATGTCGTCAAGGTCGATGATCCACAAGAGCCGGGTGGACCTTTTCGTACATCGAGGGCCGACCCTTTCGTTATCCACGTGTCGCTATACAAGGATGACAAGCTTCTCGCTAGCGACGTGTCCTGGCCAGAGCCCATCAAGTATCTCACTTTCGAGAATCCAGGCGTACACGTCCGCTACTCGGAAGACAAGAAGACAGTGTTTGTTTCTTCTGCCAAGCCAGTCAAGGGCTTTGTGTTCGAAGAGAACACTGAACGCCGTCTGAGTGATAACGGGTTTGACCTAGTACCCGGTGAAACGAAAGAGGTGCAAGTGGAAGGCCTGCCGGAGAACATGCTGAAATGGAGATATGTTGAGATGTGAAAACTACTATCTGCTCCCCTGTACTTCAATCCAACTAGTACTTCATGACATATCCCAAAAGCTGTCTTCGGAATCGCTGTCCTCATCTGCAGAATCGACTGGCCTCTCACTGACTTTCCAGAAAGCTGTCGGTCCGGCAGGGCCATGACTAAAGTTTGGTGTGTGAAGTTAGCACGCGTCTCAAATTGATTCGAACATCGATGCCACTTACGCATCGAAGTCTTTGTCAAACCACGTTCCCACAACACCGCGTGGGCAGCGCAACCCACCAACTTGAATGCCGTCACTCCGCCATCGCTCCTCACCGCTGTCGCAAAGTCAGTAATACTCTGCCCAATACATCAGCAGATTTCTTTCTACTTACCCTTGGAATACCGAAATAGTCTGCCAGCGAACCTCTCCTTCCGCTGTCAGACTGACAGTACCGCGAATACCAGAGTTGGCATTTGGATCCCAATGCGCATCTACGGACTTCGATTTGCCTCTGAAATGCACAATGGGTAGTTTTGAGTTATCGAAAGGCCCTGGTGCTGTGACATCTGTGATGCGCAAATCCATGATGATGTGTCTGATGGCTTCATCGGTGTTCAGCGCGTCTCTAGGCTCATCGGAAGGAACTTTCATCGCCTCGGTGCTGAAGTTGTAGTGGTACAAGTCGTTGTAATCGAGGAAGCAAACGATCTAGAATTTTTCAGATAGATGCGTAAGTGCGCGGGCGATCAAGAACTTACACGTGACCAAATACCTTCCACTCCGTATGGATCCTTCATGTTGAGAGAGATATCCGGTTCATGTACTAACGCCGTATAGTTTCGTGCGGCGCTCATCTGATGGTCGTCTTCTGGAATCACACCATCAAGTGGAGCAAACCATGGTGGGCGAAGTTTGTTCGATACGGTATGAGTGCAGTAGCAGGAGTTATAGCCGATGACAATCATGATGCTTTCGATCATCTCCCAGTCCACTCGCATGCTGCTATCGTCACGGAAAGGGCCCCACTCGTTCTGATCGGTGTAGTTTCGTAGGTCGTATACACGCGATCTGGCATACGGATTTGTTGAGAGATCTCTCCTTCCAGCGTTGGATGGCGGGAAGCCGAGTAGACTGTGCAATTTTGCGCTAAGTTGTCGACTCTCTTCATCTCCAGCTGGCCTCTGCTTTCCTGTACCAGCACGGTCGAAAAGAGAGGAGCGGCACATGAACGCATCGTGATTCTGTGCGATACGCTGGAACTGGTTGGTCACTAATTGTTTGTTGTGAGTCACGCCATAATCATCAAGTGACATCGTGGCGATGAGCTCGTCGACGCAGGTTGCGACAAATGTGAACTCTTCTCTCTGCTACCGCTTAGCAATTATGCCTGTCGATCGAAACTGGAAACATACTTTGAGGTCATTGTTGGCAGAGTCGAGGATCTTTTGACATCTCACCACCCTCTGCAACGCTCCTACCCATTCTGGCTCAGGATCGGCCGGTCTTCGGCGTCGAGGGTCGTCCTGCCACATCATTAGACTCCATGATATATGAGCGAGCAAAGGATGTCTCATACGAAGTGCTTCAGGTACAGAGTTTTGTAAAGCCGCTTGTTCTCCTTGATGAATTGGTTGAAGCCTCTGGACGTTTGCGCACATGCCGCGAGATCATGGGGTTCAATCTCTTCCAGAATCCCGATCAGTACATCATAACAAAGATCCAGTAGTTCTATCATGGCTGTTTTCGAAGGGTTTGAATGCTCAAAGCAGTTGGTAGCGAAGGTAGAAAGCGGAGACAAATCAAGGGTCCAAGTGGTGACGATGTGGGGTCCGGAGATAACGCCTATCCCCGTATAGTTCGCAGCGGGCTGACGCCACTCTAAAAGTCCCTCGTTCTCTGAGGATTGCGCGCTACTTGGTGCTTGCTGAGATTCTTGTGTAACATGAGAATGTCTGTGTAACGAAAGAAGACGCCACCACTTCGAGCGACAGGTTGGTGACCTGCAAACGTCACAACGGGCGCTAGCGCAGCTTTTAGTCAGCAGGCAGCCGGAACGCCGAGATGCACCAGCTTTTGCCGACCCTTCTAGTGATATTACGCATCGTGCAATTTGTCAGGGCGCTGCTAAAATTGCATAACGATGTATCGACCGGACAGAGTTATGATCCTTTCCACTGCAGAATACCACTACTTGGAAGGGAGCGTTCGCGGGGCCGGCGTGTTGCGCAATGGGTCGGACGAGGAAAGCGTCGAGTTACTGGGCTGATTCAGAGACGCGGATCGCTAAATCAGGAATACAAGTCACTCAAGAAGATGTCAAAAATCACGCGAAGGGAAGACGTGTTGAACATGAAAGCAATGCAATTGGGGTATCTAGGTCAAGCAAACTACCACTCTAATCGATCATCACACGTCAACCGTACATCCCACCTGTCGTCTCCCTTCCAAACCTCACCACCCTTGTTGTTCCTTGCAACTATCCGCCTAAGATCGCTAATCATACCACCGGGTCCCGAAGCGAACACCTCGGTGCCTCCTCGTACAGTGCCGGCAACGAACTCTGACACTAGGGTATCTAGGTCAGGCCTGGCTTGGATGTGGTTGAGACCCAACTCGGACTTTGCGACACCATGAACTGACAGTGCAGAGGATGCGTCGGCAGATGAAGAGTCAGAGGCGGAGTTGATCTCCTTGGAGCACTCGTTGGGCGCGGCCTTTTCTGAGACTGTGAGATCGAGGTTGGCTTCTTCTGCGGCACGGGTGACGTAGATGTGAATACCGGTTCGTAGGTTGCGGCACTTGCGCTTGAGGGTAGCGAGTTCGGGACCGACCCAGTCGATGTCGCTTCTGCGGCGTATGCTCCAGATGAGCGTCATGTGGCGGTCAGGCGACTGTGGGCTTGAGGCGAGGTCGAGAAGTACGGGAAGGACGTAAGCGATACCGGTACCGCCAGCGATGCAGAGGATGTTGGAGTTCGCAGCGAGACCACGCATGGTACGCTCGCCGTAGGGTCCGGTCATGACGACAGAGAGGCGAGCATCGGCCATTAGGCTCTCGTGCGATTCTTGGTGGCTTGACATGTTCGCAATGCGCTTCATGGACAGGTCGGCAATCTTCTTCGTCTCTCCGCCCCTTGCGCGGAAGATGTACGAGTGGCGCTGGGAGTCAGCACCGTAAACCGGGCGGCTGATTGGTGTAAATGGATGAGACTGCCAGATGGAGCTGTCCGGGAATGTGAGGTAGAAGTGCTGGCCGACTGCCCAGGCATCTTGAGGGTGGTCGAAATCCAGACGCACGACATCGCCATTGACCTCGTCCTTGAAAAGCGCAATGTTTGCAGAAGCGGCACGGAAGCCCATGTGTCCGGAGGGCAGGAAGTTGTAGTGAAGCAGGGCTGATCTAGCAAGTCGGATAGCGCGGTCGATGAACCAGACCAGAAGTCCGGGGAGGAGGAAGACCTTGAGCTGCGCCCAGTGTCCCCAGCAGGCTCCAATGTACACCATAGCGAGGACGTAGTGGGCCTTGCGGAAGAATTCGTAGCCGGTGAGACGAATACCCCAAGGAGTCGAGAGCAGAACAAGAAGAGTCAGGAGAAGCATTGCGACTACTCCCCAGATCATGTACTCTTGCACGATCCATTCCGCGGCGACGGTTGGCTGGGGCTGATAGAGACGGATCTCGATGACGCACCAGCCGATAGTGTGAAGAGCGGATTGGGCGAAGATGATGTATCCCAACCAGCGATGAAGGAAGTTGAAGCTCTGGTATGGCAGGCCAGTGACGAGCGACAAGATGGATTCGCGTGTCGAGAGCATAACGGAGAGAGGTGTGAGGGCGTATGCGATGACACCGATACGGTCAGACCATGGTCCGAGACTGGTACGGGTGTTGTAGACGCCGGGGAGCTTCTTGACGGGCGTAACCCATTTCTTGTAGACGATGCCGATGAAAGTGAAGATGGTCAGGTAGCCAGTCAGGACAACGAGGGTCAGGACCTGGGTGCGGGTTACCCGTCCGAAAATTGGCCGTGCGGCGTCAGGAAGAAGATATCGCCGTGCGTATGATGGGATCGCCCGTTGGAGTCTTTCGAATGCGCTGCGTCTCTGTGGTACTCCTTCTCCTACTTCTTTTGGCAGTTGCACGCCGGATGGTTGTGAGCGCGCAAAGTGTCGGCCAACAGCCCACACCAACAGGATGGCGCCAATCGTGGCCCATATGATGCCGCTGTAGTACATGCCAAGGTCATGACTGCGATAGACAACGTCGAGGTACTCGCAGGAGCCGGGGTCGCTGGTGCAGGGTACGAGGCGATCTGCGTAGCCCCAATGCGGCTCGACAGCGCTCGCCTCGGAGTAGTTCTGGATGTGCGCACGCGCGACGAGCATGTCAGCGGCCATGGTCAAGGCAAGAATTGAAGATGCGATGCGTGCTGCATGTCTCGAGGTGGAGTGCGCCGCATATCTATATGACCTATCGCCGGCGGAGTATTGCACACCGGAAACGTGGTGAGCACGTTTCGTAAAAACTCGGGCCAAGGCTTCGAGAAGTGGGCGGCGACGCTTAGGCGGGTCTTTGGGCGGTTCCCGCTCTCTTGGGGCGATCAAAGTGGCTAGTGCGAGTGTGTTTGAGCAAGTTCCCCCATAATTCGCGGCGCGATTGCCGGCTTGCTTGCTCGGGCCAGACTGTCGTGAGACGGCATCTCGTTCCTACATATCATGGCCTCGCATCTGCAGTCGCAGGGTCTGGTCCGACGTCTGCTATATCATTTTGACAGTTCTCTTCCACGGTTCGCAATAACTGTCCAACCAAAGTCCACATCCTAAGAACACCATCGCCATCATGCACGGAATGACAGGAATGGCGGGCATGGAGCCCAACAGCACTTGCGTCACAGAGGTTTGCAGTCCGTTCAACTAATATGATATCATGACTGACATTCTCCAGATGCTGTGGAATTGGCGCGTCGAAGACGCCTGCTTCCTCTCCGAATCATGGCACGTGACCAACAACGGCATGATGGCCGCAAGCTGCATCGGCGCCGCTCTCTTAGTCGTCTGCCTCGAATTCCTGCGACGAGTCAGTCACGAATACGATGCCTTACTCCTCCGCCAATTCCAGCGCCAACTCAACGCACAACGGGCGGCTCTCGCTGCTGCGACACCGACCAACTGCTGCGACGGCCCTACCTCGACTCTCGGTCTCCAACACGCTACCTTCCGCGCCACGGCACTTCAACAGCTTGTTCGCGCTTCGATTCATGGCTTGACTCTCGGTCTTGCGTACATCATCATGTTGCTGGTCATGCACTTCAACGGATACATCTTCATCTCCATCATACTGGGTGCCGTGCTGGGCAAGTTCCTATGCGACTGGATGGTGGTCAGGATACCTTATGGTCAGGTCGATGAGAAGGACACAAGGCGCTCTTCTATCGAAGCGGCAGGGCCGACTGGTTGCTGTGCGTAGAGGGGAGCCTGAGCTGGTTGCGGCGAACTTTGACGATTAGATACCCTATGATTGTGATATTGCAAATGAATTCTTCTTTCTTCTAAACTTCAAACTTATCTCAATCTCTTAAGAGCGTGAACAGTTCCTTCGACTTCTGAATTCCATGTTACATGTCCCAACAGCTCATCGGATTTCGCTAGGGCACGTACATCGCTCTTGCCGCGGAAACGTGTAGAACGCACCTGCCAGTACATCAGCTACAGAGCAACCCCATACAGCAGTTTTGACCAATCGGAGACCCTCCGTATACATGATCCACGTGTGTAATTCCGTGGGATGGAGCGCCCGCATTTTCGGATGACAGCCACGGTGGCAATCAAAGTCAAGGCCTTCTCGGCCCTACTATTGATACCGCAATAAACTACCTCTGCAAGTCGCGCCCGGTGGTCTTTTTCGTTGAGCACCTTGTGCATCTCGGCCGCAGAGACCAGGTCACAGCTAGGAAAGGGTGGGGTTAAGCGGCCCAACCTTACTCATACCCCACAATAGTGTGGATAAGATATCCAAGAGCGTTCTTTTGCGCAAGTTGTGGCTATGGGCCAAGTATTGATGGAGGGCTTGGTTCGGACGTAGTGTCAAGAAAGCGAACGCCGGGTGGCGAGTGACAAGCTGTCACTTTACAGATGACGTCTTTCTTGGATGAAGAGGTTTCGCGCACATTATGGCCAAGTGTAGAGGGCGGTCGAGGATGTGATCCGTCGATGGTGGCGAAGTCTTAATCAATCTGACTAGGTAGTGACGGTACAACGGGCCTTTGGGCTGCTGAGACACATATCGTCTTATAACCATCTCTGAGGATGCCGCACAAAAAGCAGCTTTGTGAGGTGATGTGATCGCGAGATACATGTACCGTGCGTGGCCCTGAATCCATCAGGGTAATCGCTCGGACTTCAGGCTTTTCTACCACCACATTTGGCGGAGAACCAAAACACTCTACGGTCTACATTGAAGTTAAAACAGAAGTTGTTGATTTGCTAACGTAATATAGACTGATGTTATTTGCTTTCATTTTTCTATGTGGGTAGGT